AATAAGACTTCAAGTGTAACAGAATTACAACTTTTTAATACTCACACCACTGCCATTTTCCAGATTCTCATTTTAGTTTGAATTTGCACATTTGCTTCACAGTACATGGTTTAAGGAGCAGCCACATTTTTAATTTATCTGAATTGCGATTGTATTCTTAGACACCTGGTGAAGCCTTTAAGAGATGTGATCATGAACCAAGAGACCGAGACAGCGGATTGAGATGGATGCTAAATGCATACAGCAGCAGTCTCAAGCTTTTTTCTCCTCTCAGCCGGCAGTGAAATTTGAAGGTGATACCTGATCCCTGAACAGAAACAGTAACTGCTTGAGAAGATGACTAGGAGACAAATTCCTTGCAGATGCAACACATTCTGCAATGTAGTGACTTTAGGAGACCCACTGAGAGGAGAGAAGCCTTGTTTGAAATATTTTCTTTTGTTTAATTCCAATGAGTTTGAAACAAAGCTATATACAGTAAGAAACTAGGCTGAAATTCATTCCTTGATGGCCATGACAGTAAATTTTGGAGACTGCTTTAAGTAACTGTTTCAATCTCATGGAAATGGCTTAAATGAGCTCAGTGAAGTGAATGACTAAACTTCAAGAACTTTTTTTATTTTAAGAACTGTAATGTACAGTATCTGAATATAGGCTGTGCAATGTGTTGTTATTCATGCTATGGATCATAGCCATTATGCAGAAAATGTTGTTAGCAGTAATTTGAGCAGAATTTTAAATATTTCTTTTATATGTAATTGAGATCTCTTATTGCATTTGCATTCATTTTTATCTATATTAATAACTTCAAAGCAAAACTGTAGTAGTTTCCTTATACCTTTACTAAATACTGTATATGAGTAAAAAGATAGAGTTTGGGGAAGCTAAGACATTCCAACACACACTGTGGTCCACATGTAGATTCCAATACACATGAAGGGTGTTCCTGTGTAGATTCCAATACACATGATTGTATCCATATGCTGGTATTGTGGGCAGCATGGTGGTGCAATGGATAGCATTGGTGCCTCACTGTGCTGATGACTGGGAGATAAATTCTTAACTAAATAACCCCCAGTACAATTCCAAACCAGGGGTGCTATCTGCATGGAATTTGCACGTTCTTCCCTGTGTTTCCCCCAGGTGCTCCGATTTCCTCCCAATATGCACTGATGTTACTGTATTTCATATGTAGAGAAAAATATATCATTGCCAGTTAGGAATCAAGTACAGTATTGGCTGTATTCTCCACATCGTCCTGCCAAAAACAGGAGGTTCCTGAAAACTGAAGGACTTTGAATTTCGGAACAAAGCTCATCAGTTGCACTTTGGCAGAAAGCAGTGAGAAACTTCTGAAACAAAGTCTTCAATCAACTGTTAGCAGGGTGATAGTCAAGGCACAGAGAGAGCAAGACAAAACCCTTCTTGCCAAAAGCCAACAGAATATTATTGAAACAGCTTGATCTGATTACACATTTAATGTTCCTGTTAATAAAATCAACTTCAACCTAAATGTGTTGTTCAGCTTTTTAAAGATGACAACTGCAAGCTGATACAGTCTGTTTGATATTAATATCCTGGCTTGAGACTTTTTTCTTACTGCTCTAACTCAGATTTTAGGAAGAATTGCATGTTGAGATGGCCTATAACAACATTTAGCAAGAGTAAATAAGGTCTAAAACCTAAAAAGTGAAAACATTAAAACTCATAGCGTCTTGTTTTACCTTTGTGAATTACAGTTCAGAAAATTGATTGATTAAAAAGAAATTACTTGGTTAATATCTGTAAACTTTTTTACATTGATTATCATTGATTGAGCAAACAAATAGATCCAGAAATTATTTCACTAAACTTTTATTTTAAAAAAAGAGCATTTGTTGAAGAAGGTTAGTGAGTAAACAGCTTTGAAATACAGTATCTGCATTTTCTTTGTTTTATAAAAGCATCAATCACTTGAGGTGGCTTTTTGGTTTGGTAGTTTGTAATTTTGTCTACATTTCTAGCTTGCATCTCTAGTTAAGACATTCCAACACACTCTCTTGTAGGTACAGTACCTAGCAGAGATGACTATGAGGAGACCGGATCCAAATATCCAAAATCCTCAAAGACATTGACAAAATAAACCAAAGTAAAGTGGACATCGGAATTAATAGTGATACACAAATCAGGGAACACAGGCAGAAACAATATCAAAGTACATGTAAAATGTAGAAAAGGCAGCACTTCCACAAAGGGCTGTGGAAGTACAGTATGTATCAGATTGCTCAACCGTGTTTTTGAAGTTGGTACTCTGGTTTCTTCAAGAAATGGCTGAGATCTTCGGGTCAATTCCAAAATGGGTAACATGGGCTAAATGGTCTTTTCTTGTTTGTAATCTTTCTTATGTTAGACATTTGCAAACAAGTGTCTGTGGCAAAGGGAAAATCAATTTATAGTCAACCTAGGTTACTGGTATTTAACCAGAGTCTTAAAAGACCTTGTTCTTTTCATGTTGAGGTGAACATTCCCTTGACAGTTACTGACATGAAATTCTTGGACATGACCACTGACTGAATTGACAGTCTGCTGTTAATTCTTTTAACCATGTTCCTTGATGGCAGCAGAAGACAGCAGGAAGTGAATTAAAACATGCCTCTGAGGACGGAGATAAAATGTCATGATTGTGTATCCACAATTAAGCTCCCCAATAAATGACGGGTTGGTTGTGAGGGAAACTGCATAATTGAACATTGACAACAAAGAACCACTGTACAAAAACAGCAAAACAAAACAGACCTGGAAGCTATACAAACAAATGAGGCAGAGACACAATTAAGAAATGCCCCGGAGAGATTCTGAACAGTGCTCCATCTGTCCAGTACAGACTACTCTTTCTCTTTACACTTTAACACCCAGTCTAGCATCCCCCATTGGCATAGAGGAATGTTTCCAAGCTGCAGTTCTCCCTAACACCAGCTGATGGCTAGATGTCTCCTTACTGTTTCTTTCTGCTTTGACTCCTTGTTAAATGCTGGGAATTGTTACCTATATGGGCTCCGAGAATCTGCCAGTCTTCTCCTTTAGGTGATGTTTGGCCTTGACCACTTGAGCTCTCACACTGTCTTCTGCAGCTGCAATTGTGAATATGCAGTCCCAGATACAAAAACAGCAGCTCCTCTTGCAGGTTCTCTCTCAAAATCCTCTTCTTTGTAAAAAGTAATCATGGCTTTCCAGACATTTTATTTTAACTCCTTTTCTGGTCGTGCTAAAGATGGGCACAATCAAAAGCAGTGATGTTACGTGTATTGTATGACTTCATTTTTCAAAACAATTCAGTCCTCCCAGGACAGTGACTTGTGGATGAATAGTCAGCTTTTCATCATCTTGGAAAACAGACAAAACCTAAAACATGAGACAAAAACAGACTTTGAACCTGATGCCCTGGTCAATCTGATTTTTTTTTTAATTTTACCACTCCTAGTGAATTATGTTATGGGATAAGTTTGAAGGAGACAGGGGCAAAGAACAATGTAAAAGGTGTCAATTTCCTCTAAAATCCCTGATGTGCGAGTACAGGTGGGATAAAGGTGAGACGTTTTAACGAGAGGTTTGTAGAGTATGCCCCAAAACGCCCCCTGTTGCATTATAGGTTAATACAATTTCATACGTAGTTGGTCCTACCTATCTTTGACGTATTTTAGTAAGATTGTCCACGTGTACTGTCATTTTTTAACAGCATCTTGAGTGTATTTGTAACCACTGCAAAACCAATTTATCTTTTTTTTAATGTTGAGATATTTATTATTAAGGAGAGCTGAATGCAACGTCCCCCCTCCCCCTTCTTTTTAAAATTCCTGTCTTTCCTAAATGTAGCCTATCTCCCAGGAACAGCCCCGGGACTCTGAACCCAAACGTGACATAAATATTTCATTTCTTTCCCCTAAATAAACGGTTTAAAAGGCAGACCGCCCTTAAGCTACTCCCTTCTGAGGACGGCTTAAGCGCCCACGCAGTAAAGCTTAATTTACGTTAGTTTGGCTTTTAAGTGGCGATGTTTGTTAATATTATTTATTAGTCCCAATTCATTCTGCCGTAGCCTGTTAACCGATGTAAAAGGATGAGAGTACTGCGGATGGGAAAAAAAGACAGAGAAGGCTGTAGTGGGAGGAGCAATTCTCTCTCACATTCTTGTGTTGCTCTCTCTTTCCGTCTCTCCCCTCCGCGCGCTCCCTCTCCCTCTCTTTCATAGGTGATGCATTTCCAGGCAACGTGCTGGGGTGCTGATGCTGTCAGTGCATTGCTGCTCTCTTTCCCCTCTCGTCCTGCATCTTCTTCTCGAGCTCCAGCCGAGCATCCTTCCTGAACAGACCGCTAACTGCTCTTCCTCTGGTGCTCGCTAGTGTGGCGGCATTCCTTCGGAGGAGCAAGGAGCAAACTGCGTCCGGATGTTTCCTCGCAAAGGATTTCAGTCTCAAGCTTTCTTTTAATACAGTTATTGTTTTTCTTCTGCCTTTTTGTGATCTCGTATTTGTCGCTCCCTCTCCCAGAAGCTGGAAGTTCACTTTTTCAAAAATATACATTAAGAGATTTGCGATTGAGCGATTATTCTAATGCAATTGCCCGGTCTTTCTAGTTAAACCCGGGATACGTGTTTCAAGAATACTAACCAGGAGAATCTTTCTTCACAGCTCTTTTGATTTATTTTCTTTATTTGGCTTTCGTTGGATTATATTTACACTGGATGTTGTTGAAGGAACCGTACAAATTCAAAATGTTTTGATTAAATATGCCGGAATTTTGAAGAAGGATACGGGAGATTAATTTCCTTTCAGTTCAAAGCACCTATTTTCATGCGAAAAAACAGTTGAAAGTGACGCGATCGTGAAGACAAAACGCCCATTTCTAAAAGCCTTTTTTACCTCTGCCAACTACTCACAGACGATCGGGATTTAAAACTATTGCCTCAAACTCCTTTTGGTTTCGGTACTTACTAAAAGAAAACGTATTAAACAGGAACAGAGATGGAAGTTATTCCAGTGATGTTCATCCTGATCGTATCTTGGAGTCTAACCTGGGACATCGTGGTTTCAGATTCAATTATACATATTGGTAAGTTCAGAAACACAAGCGCGCAGGTGGACAGGCGGCGCCGGAATGCATACTGTAGCTGACTGAACGTCCCCTCGCGTCTCTGTGCTCTTCTTTGAACTCGGGGCGATCAGAATTTAACAATGTTATATTCTCCTAGCTCGACACATTTTTTTTAAATAGCTTTAAATTGCTTTTGCTTTAGACTCTTAAATAAGTATATTTGCATCTCACCACCCCATGCTAGGTTTTACGTTTTCATTGCTCGGGTTCCACTGTTAGATAATTGGATTTAACGTGGCTGCAGGAGAACAGGTGGTTTGAGTAATACAGTATGAGATTCATAGATACCCGCTAGTCGTTACAGGGCTGAATTCCATTGGGCTGATGATTCTGTTTAAATGCATGTTGCATTACATGCTTTCATGATGATTGAGTAGGGTAACATTTATATCATACTGTACGTGGGTTTAAACAGATTACTGGCATCTACTGTATTTCTTCCTCTTTATCTAAGTGCTGTAACCTACGGAACATCTCTACGTAGCTTTAATATGAGCTATTGGAATGCGCTGCTAGTGCGCACATACAGTAAGCGTGCAATTTGTGTTGCTGGTTTTATAGAGTAACGCGCCTGCATACGGTTTCTGACTTGATTCCACTGGCAGCGAACTTATGATTTAAGCATCTACATGGTTTTAATGTTCTCTGGCTTCGAATTTAATGCTCTTAGCGAAGCTTACTGCGCACTGCATATATACTGTAGGCTAATGTTTACATAAGGTAGCTACTAGCACTGAGTAGCCTATACTGAAGTCTATTCTAGCCTATTCTATCCTCTCGACCGTTGTGTACATAATGGACGCAGGCTCGCAGCACAAATGTACTCGAGTAGTCTGTGCATTGTGTAGATAACTAGTTCGGGAATGGGAAACTATCCGATACCTGTAAATGAAACCGCAGGCTTCTGTCCGCGAACTTCTAACTAAACACTAAATATGTCCATTTACGTTTTCTTATGTCAGTTTAAGAAACTGGATTGTGTGGTGTCGGTCTGCAAGACACAGCACGCCAACAAATTGCAACCACACATCAACGCAACAGTTTCTAACCTACAGTATAGCTAAAATTATACTGTTTTTATTATCATGTAAGATACAGAGAATCGTTTTTTTCATATGGTTTATTATGGCGTTGATATTAATCCTGTATTATGTGGCCTATGAAGAAAACCGCCTTAATCGGAGATAATGTGCAACTCTTTAAACCTTTTGTGTACAATTCAAAGTTCATAATTGGTCTCAAGAGACATGAAAAACAAGTACTCTACCTTAAAATGGTTTCGGTATGTTCTTGTTGCCTGGGTTTTTAATGTGTTTATTTTCTTACTCTTTTTCGGCAGCATCATTTTATCTGTGTTGCTGAAGCCAGTGCTCTCAAACAGGACAAAATGCGCTCGTTATTTATGTGCATATTTCTAAGACAAAACCACTCGTCAGCGGTCGACATTCCAGTAGGAGTAATTGCAGATACATGACTCTAAAACCTTCACAGATGACAGACTAATGCTTTACCAATACAGCTTTAATCTTAAATAATGTCGCTTCTGTTTAGGCTACAATGATAAACAATTATAAAGTCCCTTATTATTTAACAATGGACTGCGATGCTCCTGAACTCTTCAACACATTTAAAACGCAATAAAAGAGTTCTGAGTGGTTCCAAACCACTCTTGAACAAACCTGGACTGTCCTTACGTTATAATATATTCATAAATCGTATGGATTATTACGGATTTTATATGACGTGTGACCGTTGTTTGGAATGTATTTTCCCGTGGGCAAGAAGGTATTGTACTGCATATCTTCACCGCAGCGGCGGGACAGTGACTAGTGCTGAAATTCCAATGACGTGCTGAGCCATTAAAAATGAACAGTTATGTCAGTAATCATTATTAGTATTTATGAACATTTTGTGAAATCCGTTTCAGTTTCACTTTGGGCTTAAGGAGTCCTTACTCGAAAGCTCGCTTGAAACGAGTTCTTAATAGGAGACTAACGTGTTGAGGAGTCATGAGTCACTTGGGAGTTCTTGGGTAGAATGACTCTAAACTCTCACGTACAGTACATGGAGTGAAAATCATTAAATCTCAATGAAGTTTAAAAAAGACTGATGTAAGCAAGAAAAGTGGCGCAAATTATCCACATCCCAAGGTGATTGTTACTTAAAAAGATATATACAGTACTGTATACAGTATATCAGTCTTGCAAATAATCCTTCCCTTTCTACTCTCCTCTCCCCAGACACAAGAGATCACAGAACCAGGAGAATCAGACCTCTCTGTGATCGGAAGGCAATTATGCTTCATAAAGGGGTTAGGGAGCTATATCAATTTAATTTTCCTCTTGGGACCGCGCTATTAAAGCCTTTCAAAGCACAGTGAGCCGGAATATGCTGAATAACAATAATGTTACTATTCCTACTACAGCGTCTGTTTCTGGTAGTATTAATAATTATGATGGAAGCAGATAAAATGTACACTTACGCGGATTTTATTGGCCTTGTAAAAGCAGGATCGAGATATTCTTCTGAAGAATTACTCCCACGTTTTATTTTAATCGTCATTCAACATACCAGACGGTTTTATTTATCTTTTAATATACTTACTGTAAATAAATTGGATGTTTTTTTTAATGACACAATTGTCTAAACAGAATAAAAGTGGGATTTATACTGATCAGTGGTAATAGTACACATACCACTACTAATTTACATGACAATTGGATATAATTGATCTCTATCGTGCGTTTTTTCGATTAGGATTTTGTCGGAGATAATTATCCGTTGTTTTCTTTTGCGAGGTTTACTGTTTCAGGAAAATACAATAGTTTTTATTATAAAAATTCTTTTAAAACACACTGTGTCGAGCTACTATTCCAAAACCTTATAATAAGGGATTCCTTTGATTTTTGTTACTATAAAAACGCTGTGACATATCAAGCCAAATGCAATTCTTCACAATACCTCTCCCTAGAGCATAGCAATTGATTGGGTAATTTCATCAGACTCACATTACTTGATTGCTAAGAAGTTTCCTAATGATCTGTATGCTAAAGGGAGAGTACATACGTCGTGAACAGAATGGCAAATGACACGGTGTTTTATGAGGCTATTCAAAAAGTCACTCTGATTTATGTAGCTGGAAAGCTCTAAAGTCTCTGGGATTAGCCGGGCCGCCCGCTACTTTCTCCTACATAAAAATCCACCCACACCTCTTGGTGCACACAATTTACCAGAAATCATCTGTGAACATAAGATGATGTAAAATATTGATTGCCCTTGCCTTACGTTCCCTTTAAATTCTCAAAACTGTGGAGTGGAGTAAGGTCACCGGCATTTGTCTTTTTTTTCTTTTGGAAACGTAACTACAGTATAATTTTTTACTGGGGAACTCTGATTTGTAATGGTTGTAAATAATTATGAAGCAACGCGTACATACAGTAAGCAAATTAACGGGAGTGCATACGCCTCATGCGCATGTTTAATCTTCAATTAGAAATGGTAATGGTCATCTACAGCAGTTTATGTCTACTTTTTGGTAATGTCCACATGTGTTTTTAAGATGTGTAGTCAAAGTTCTGTCAATTTATTTTCATCACGTACAGTATTTTGAATAAAGTTCAGCAACGTCCAGTATTTTGATTTATACAGTATGTCATGATCTTCGTGTACCTGGTTAGCATTTTGTACCGTGCATTGAAATGGAACTGCCAATTAAAATGCACTATATTCTATTAAATCTAAAAGTAAAACCAGTTTTACTAGAGGCCATTTTCTTTTCCAAAAGTAGCTTGTTGTGATAAAGAGACGCACACGAAAAAAAATAAATTGCGTCACGAACAAACACTGTTCAACCGCTATACTGTAACTCTCACCCATTAAAAAAAAAAAAAAAACCTGCTATCTGGAACGACCATCGTGATTTTATCCACATTTTTCACAGAACCTGTAGACGATACAATTCGCTGGTTGTAAAGTGCCTTACAATTGCTTCATCTTCAATCATCTATGGGATAAGAAATACGTATTTTCATTCATTGGATACATTTATCTCCCGTGTGACCAAGAAGGGAAATTTAATGTTGTACTCTGGTCTTCTCACTTCTCCAGACTTCTGTCCCTCTGAAATTGGCTACTGCATATACAGCAAACACAAAAGGAAATCGTGTCATATCGTCTGTTCACAAATATGCAATAATATCTGTCCTTTGGGTTCTGGTCTGTTTCTGATTGGGATGACTTTATTGCACATGTAATAGACAGTGAAGTTCATGCCTTGAAATCCCATTCAAAAGTAACTCTCCTCTATTATGAGGATTCAGACTATTTTTTGAGTTTCCTGAAAACCCCTTTTTATGCACATACTGTATATTAATTGAATTGCTTTAAAACAGTGTATTTCTACAGAAAATTGTCGGTGGCATGTTATGTGATGGAGTAGATAGCTGACTACAAAGGATTTTTTGTGACAGAGACCTTATTATTCTGAATCTCTTTCACCTGGTTATTTAAATAATAGTCAGAAATGAGTTGTGACAGGCTCTGTGGGTCTTTAACTGGGTTGAAAGAAACAGATATAAAAGCAAGGAAGTCTGGATCATGTGAATGCTGTGTGGCTAAAAATAAAGTGAGGAATTTTATTCATTATTCAAATTCATTACTGTACAAGGAGCAGCATAGCAGAGAGCAACAGAGAGATGAATACAGTGCTCTCACACCTTGTGCCCAATAGCTTTATACTGGACAAATGTGATTAATAGGTTTCAAGTGCCAACTATATCATATGTACAAATCTGATTTTAAAGCACATATCTTGATGCTTCAACATTTCTCAACATTTATGCAGGATGACCTGTCTCTACTAATAGTGTGGGTTCTGTTTTGTTTTTTTAGAATAAGACACATGGTGGTGACAGTCAGGATAAACATCTGGCTTGAGAGAAGAAGAAAAAGCCCCTTGA